CACTTGAGCCTCTCAGTTCTCTTAAGTATTACCGGTCCAGCGTTACGATTTACAATGAGCTCAGAGCCAGTCTGCGGTTTAAAGAAGAGTGGAAGATAACCTACCGTAGTTCCCGTGAATATGCATACACAGCGTTATGGAAACTGCATTTGGATTTAGTTCAAGTTGTTGAGGCTCTACTCGTTGCTGATCAAGCACGTGCTCAAGCTCTAAATGATATGGTGAATTATGAGTATGGCTCTGGAGAACCATGCTATTTGCCACACCTGCCTGATAAGCCTGTCTGCGAGTTACCTGTGGGTTGTGCTCAATCAAATTTGGTTTTCTTAAAAGTTACTGATAAAAAAATGTATTTCTGGGTTGTTCAGATCGGTAACCATGTTCAGTTTAGAAAAATAAAGATCGGCGATTATGGCTCAGGTCCTTATTTGACCGAAAACTTCATTGCAAAGTTAAACAACGAGAAATTCGGAACATTGCGGATCAAATGCGAGAATCGTTCACTTGATGATGAGCCTTGCGATGACGAATTGGCCCCTGAAAGYGCGGTTGATAAGCTTTCCGAGTCTTCCCAGACAGAGTCAGTGCACAAATTGTATGACATCATCATTGGTCCTATTGCCGACCTGATTAATGGCCATGAACTTATCTTTGTTCCCGAACGTTCATTATGCATGGTCCCTTTTGCTGCACTGATGGACTCCAATTCAAAGTATCTGTGCGAGTCTTTCAGAATTCGCGTCATTCCATCCTTGACCACTCTCAAGTTGATTGTTGATGCAAAAGATGATTTCCACAACAAGACCGGCGCGCTACTCTTGGGGAATCCATGTTTGGATGAAGTTCTTTTTGAGGGAAGAAAGTTAGATCCGCTTCCATGTGCCGAAAGAGAAGTGAAAATGATAGGCGACATCCTCGACTCTACGCCACTCATTGGAGAGGAAGCAACAAAAGATGAGGTGTTGAGGCGGCTCTCGTCAGTTGCTCTGGTACACATCGCAGCACATGGCCGGATGGAGACAGGAGAAATTATCCTTGCGCCACGAACAAACCGCAAATCCCAAACCCCTGCCGAGGAAGATTATCTTCTCACCATGAAGGATGTGTCGGATGTTCACATGCGGGCAAGGCTGGTTGTGCTAAGCTGTTGTCACAGCGCTCGTGGAGAAATAAAAGCGGCTGAAGGAGTGATTGGCATAGCGCGATCGTTTCTTGGTGCCGGAGCTCGCTCTGTTTTGGTGGCTTTGTGGGCGCTTGGTGACGAGGCCACGATGGAATTCATGAAGTACTTCTACAAAGAACTTGCAGCAGGAAAGAGAGCCAGTGAAGCTCTTCAGCAAGCTATGAATTGCATGAGAGAAATTGAACAGTTCAGAAATCTGCGGAACTGGGCACCATTTGTACTCATTGGTGATGACGTCACACTGGACCTACCGGACGCTTCTGAAGTTTAGACTTTGGCTGGTGCACACGTAGGTGTAACTTATTTATTGTTAGTTATCGTAATACTTGAACGACTCTATCAAGCTGTTTCTCTGCGTTTTCTTCTAGTTTCTATTAATCTGTTGAACTTCTCTCAGTTTAGAGACCTACAATAAATTTTATTGAATAATGCTTTTAATAGTTTCGAAGGTGTTCTTTTCCAAATTTTTTTTAACGTAAAAAATATAATTTTATATAAATTACTATTTCTTGTAGGTTGTCTTCGTTGAAAGAAAACCCACACAAGAAACGACGTGACTCTTCGCGGATGGGGAAAATACTTCAAGGACCATACCAGGATTGGATCGTACACAGACTCAAATGGACCAGAGTAATCTAAGATCTTTTTAGTTTTTTCCTTAAGGGAGTTTTAGTGCCTATAGAGGCATTTGAACTCGTAGTCGATGAGAAATCTTTAATAATTTTCAATTTTTGGTGCAGGATTTAGTTTTCATTATGAGCGCAGACAAAAAATACTCTCTACATCGAAATTTTGCGAAAAGAGGTCTTTGTTAAAGATTAACTAAACGAAGGGTAGGCATCTCAGAAAATGATTCCTAGGTTTTGATGAGAATTTATGCCACACATGTAAACTTTTTATTTGTTTGGTTTACTAAAAATAATCGTGAACTGAAGAAATCACGGCCTGATCCTTTTTGAATTTTGCTCGAAAAGTGATCGTTATCGGTGAGGAATCTTAAACAATTTATCAATTTTTCTTAAGATGTATTTGTGAAATTTCATTGTATGCTCAGAGAAAATAGTTTTTAGATCGGAATTTTGTGCAAAGAGGTCTTCGCTTAAGACCATCTTAATGAAGTCTGTTTCAGTGCTATTAGAGGTACAGTGCGATCGAGTATTCATTCCAACTTGTTATCTATGACAATTTATTTTATAAGTCTCACTGAGAGTTCTTTGGTATAGATTAAGTAAACGAAGGGTCAGCATATCAGAAAATTATTTCCGGGCTATGATGAGAATTTTTGCCACAACTGTAAATTTCTAAGAGGTTAAGTTTACTTAAAATAATCATAAACTGCCGAACTCACTGCTTGATCTCTTTTGAACTTCATTTGAAATCGATTGTTATCGATGAGAAGTTTTTTTTTAACTTTGTTTAATTTCAGCGTTTGCAGCAAAAAATAGTTTTAAGAATTTTTTCAGAATTTTGTACAAAGAGGTCTTTGCTAAAGACAATCTGAATGAAATCTGTTTGAATGCCATTAGAGGCACTATTTGATTGGGTATTCATTCCAAATTGTTATCGATAAGATTTTTTGACATTTCGCCAATTTTAGTTTAGGACTTAGTTTTTCTAAGTTTCATTATGTGCCCAGAGAAAAACACCCTTTCTGTTGTTATCGGTAAAATTTTTTTACATTTCGCCAATTTTAGTTCAGGACTTAGTTTTTCTAAGTTTCATTACGTGCCCAGAGAAAAATACTCTTTCCGCCGTAACGTTTAATTAAGATTTCCTTATGAAAGGAATTGTTACCAGGCTACCATGAGAGTTTTATATAGATTATGATAAACACGCGGCCCGATCTTGTTGGTTTGGTTGAGATATTAAGATGTAAAGTTTAGACTATTTTATATTCAAAACTGGACATATAATATCCCTTCTTTGTTACTTTCCGTAGTTTTAGCATCTTCAAGTGACTCAATTTCTAATGTCTTTTTTTTAAACTACTTTTGAAGCGGAGCTATTCTGAAAAGTAGTTTTACGATGAACGATCTTTGTATTGTAAAAAGGGATTTACAGTTTTAATTTGCCTAAGTTTAACTCCTGTCTGAGCTTGGGACCAGTCTTCATTCATCACCTGGGTGGGGTGGGAGGATTTTGGTTTTGTCACGATAAAATTTACCTGATACCCCATAAAGCTCTAGTATTCTTATGACAGTTAATTGATAATCATCTTTTTTACCCAACCCCCTCCTTTTACACTCTGTTGGCGATGGCTGATCCTCTTCCGTCCTCCATCCTCTCAGCCCAGGTGATAAATAATGACTGGCCCATTTAACGGGGAACATTTTGGTAATTTGTAATGAGTCATCCTTTAATATAAATAATTTTTAAAACTTACCGGTGTACATGAACCAAGAAAGTCCTTAAAACTCTCAGGGTCTGATTGTGTGGCTGCCCTCGAAAGTCAACTCGCATCCGAAGGAGTTTCGTTGTTATTCGCAAGAAAAAGAGAAATTTTAATCCTGGGATCTGGCTTAGAAGTAACAAATCTTCTTGAGATAACAACGTAGTCGCCTTAAGATACATGGATGGACGAAGGATTACATGGATCTGACTGACATGTAATATTAGGGACTTTAAGCAGTCAGGACGGCAACGCCACGGAAGACGTCGATTAAAAAGCGAGTTTCTACTTTTAGTTAGAATTTCGAAAATGGCTGGATGTGTTTACCGTCTCATAGGGCGCCAGACCTCAAACTCAACATAACGCATAAAAGTAGCGTTGAGTTCCAAATGTAAATTAAAATAACTTGCCGCCGCGGTTTAGCTTCACAGACGACGCAAATTTTGGTGATTTCACGTTGTTGTTTTGCAAAGGACGGCTAAGAAATGTACAAAGTTTGAAAACGCACGTGCTGGGCTATTGTTCTGCCAATTAGATCTATTGTTTTTCCACGTTCTCATTGCGGTAGCCGTCGTGGTTTGCTTAAAGTCCCTAACAACACCATGGCGGCAACAAGCACGAGTTCACAAAAAACCGCTGACCACAAATGCTTGTATCCTTACTACGGCGCTGCTGTAGTAACAGATTGGATTTCCGCCCCCTTGCCCCTTCCCCCTCCCAGTGAATTTTTAAAAAATGTCCCTTTCAAAAAGTGTATATCTTAAATTGGAATGGTTCGTGTGTAACAACAACATGCGCCTATGACCATGAAGGCGAATTTGTATTGAAAATAAATTGAAGACGTCGGCTAAACTAAGTTGGCGGTTTAGTGACTGTTAAAGTTCAAGCAAATTGCATGGCCCAGTCATTTGGGGTTGGAAATTTGATGAAACATCAGTTTTTCCTTAAAAACAAGACATATGCGGACAGCGGAGTCAACCGTTGACTGGATATTTCAAGATCCTTCGTAAGGTAAACAGTGCGCTTTGGAAAATCATCAGGAAAGGTATTTATCTACCCGTCGTGGTATAACGCATGAAGGTTTAGTATACCGCTGACAAAACTGCCACGAAACGCACACGCGTGCTCCTGATAGTCTAGAAACTCATCCACGATTTTCCATTTCAATTCCCGTTTTGCAGTCATGATATCATTTGAAAGCGGCTTTCAGAGATAATCTACTTTCAGAGACTGTTCAGGACCTCACTCCTTGTGTTTGTAATTCCCCTTTCGACCTACAGGCTCTTATTTGCCGCTTTATGACTGAAATTGAAGGAGGTTCAGAGGAGAATGAGAGTATCCGCTTATCATTTTACTCTACACAACAGACAAATTAGCGGGAATGTATCTTTACTTTCTATAAGTACTGCTTTCCTCGTGTTCACCCAACATCCCGCGTGGCTTTATCATGTTAGAGAGCCCAGAAATTGTGTTCTGTTGCTTAATTAGAGTGATATTGATTGACCCTCGGGAAGCGTAATTCCTGGCTTTTTTAAGCCCAATGATTCCTGCTGGATTCACCAAAATATTTTTTGGATATTTATGTTTCATTTTATAACTGTCTTCTGCAATCTAGGACTCCCATATTTTAAACACGGAAGTTTACTTTTCCTTCTAATTCAAGCGCTACGATTCATTATCCACTATTTCGCTACCAATCCTAAAAATATCAACTGGAAATCATATAGTTGGAGCCTGGAATTCCAGAGCGAGATGTTATAAACTGAGCTGAATGCATGAAGGCAAAGACAAAAAAAATGCACGAAATATCGTTCTGAGAGTAAAGTCGTTTTCAAAATTACCAGGATGGTGCACAAGGTCAGATGTTTCGATTAGGGCGGTTAACAAGAGGAATGATGTAATCTACACGAAAAGTCCTACTCTGGGGCCTTAAGTCGCCGTAACTTTGGGCGACTGAGGCGACTGAGGCGACTGAGGCGACTGAGGCGACTTGAGCAAAATTAGCAGAAAAAACATTGCGACCTTAGGTGGTTTAAGGCAACTTAAGGCGACTTAAGGCAACTTAAAGCGATTTGATTTGACTGAAGTGATAAAATCAAAGTTAGCAACAGTCTCTCCATAAACCTTAAAAATATTTACAGAATCCCTTGCAATAAACACAATAGTCATTTTGGTTGTTTGTGTATGCTCATAAGTCACCATAGTTTAAAATATCCAGATTTCAAACCAATTTACCATAACAGTTATTGTTAAATTGTACAGTCAAAGCTAGTGAATAAATAGCCAGGAAACCAATTTAGCTTAAAATGTTTAGACAGAATTACCGAACTTCATATATGAACTTCATATATTTCATTGTATCTCATTTATCACTTTCACGGGTTTATTACGAATCAACTTAACGGCCTGCTCCCAGTTGGCTTGTTAGCTCAATTGGTAGAGCGCTGCACTAGTATCGCAGAGGTCAGTGGTTCGAATCCCGTACAGGCCTGATTTTTTTCAGGTCTGATTTTCGCTATTGCTTAAATAGCGCTATCTACTGCGAGGATCGTGCATCATATGTATCTAATACCGCAGTACAAAATATATGAACTTCATATATTTCATTGTATCTCATTTATCACTTTCACGGGTTTATTACGAATCAACTTAACGGCCTGCTCCCAGTTGGCTTGTTAGCTCAATTGGTAGAGCGCTGCACTAGTATCGCAGAGGTCAGTGGTTCGAATCCCGTACAGGCCTGATTTTCAAGTCTGATTTTCGCTATTGCATAAATAGCGCTCTCTACTGCGAGGATCGTGCATCATACGTATCTACAACCGCAGTTCAACAAAGAATTGTTGATTTTTCTACTGACAAGAGCCATTCTATCCTTCCTTGATGGTTATTAGGGCAGTCGAATTTGAAGAAACATTTTAGAACATTTTAGAATATAATGTTTTCTGCCGTAATGTTAAGAAACATTTATTTGCTAAATATCGGTCTTGAATCCACATAATATGTATTGTATATTTTAACATCTCACGATAAGTTACATTAATTGAAAATGTTTCTTGTTGCTATCGGGAGTCTATTGAACAGCGTTGCCGCCGAGTGCTGGAAAGTTCCTGATTCTCTAGGAGTAAAAAGTACGGGTGCTGTTGATGATCTTAGATTATAAGCAGTTACTTCATGGAGAGTCAGTTTCAGATACTCAGGAAAGCTATTATTGTCTGTGAATTATCATCAGGATATAATAAACATTGAATCACATGAAACCTACAGTATCAGGCTCAATTCTTGCCACTCACTTATACCTTGAGCAGTATAAATAACATTAAAAGTCAACTAAACTTAAATGAAGCTAAATTTTATCCACTTAACTTACCCAGAGTAAAAGAATGACAAAAATGGGCCATTTCTCCAGCATAAACTTGTTGATCTGTACTAGCTACTTCCACCATATTCGACTAACTGAAAACATTGTAATTTTATAGCTGGACGAACCAACTAAAGGCTTAAATATTTGTCTATCCTGAGACTTTGAAAGTCTTTTTGTAAATTTCTTCTTTGTCAGTTTGATGATCAACATACATGAACTACTTCTGAGCCAAGAAAAGCCTTTCACAGCAAACATGGCTGCCAGANTATTCAAGAAATGTCTTGCTCAGTGGCAGAATGTTTGAATGTTTTCACTCTTCACAATGTTTAAAGGAAGTTTATTAAAAATTTCTGTGCCAGTAAAAAGAAAGGTCCTTTTCCCAAAATTTTGTTTTACTTTTGGTAGGGATAGCCTCATACTTTGCCTTGTGGAATAGTTGTGAATATTCGAAAATCTGGTGAAATATGATGAAAAGTAACTAGGAACTAATGAGTGAATACAGAGAAAAACGAGTTTAGCCTTGTGGTAATAGCATCTACTCGAAAGATTCGGCCATTGCAGCTGCTAGTGAATATATAGCCAGGAAAACATTATGGTTATATGCCCAACATTAAACAAACCTATCAAAAAAATCCCCATGAAGACGCACATTTTTAATTTGAGAAAAGAGACATGATTTACGTAAGACTATCAATACATTTCCCACATAATTAATTAAAAATAACTTGATTATTTAATTATTTCACATAGCCTCACAAATTATAAAAATTATTATCTTGGTAAACTTGTCTCCCATATATTTGCCACTTGCACTGTCAATTTTGGCATGAGTGCAAGTTTAACAACTCGCATGCCTTTCGAAGAGCACCCAAAATTGCTCGGTCCTTTTCAGCGACCCATCCAATTTGTTGTCCTCCTCCCTCAGTTAGACAAAACACTCCAATACCATAATGAGAACCACATCCTAAGGTCTTTCTCCACTGTTGATCGGATCAGCAGGACCTTCTAAGCATTCAAGTTTTATCTTTAGCCTGGTGACAGTATTACAGGTTTAAAAGCATTCATTGTTACCTCACAACTGTCCAGAAACTAACGAGTCACGACGAAATTCTCCAAGAATTTTTTTAAAGCTCTTTGATAATATATTTTTTTTTGCACAGATAAATTAATTATTTCTCTGTACACTTTTCAGCAGGCTCACGTGCGTGTTGTTCTCACGTGCATTTTGGTCAAGGAACAAAACTTAAACACGAAGGCGCGCTATAAAAGTAGCCTTAGGTCCCGCTGGACCATTTGTCAATTAACCGTCGTGTGATGTAGAACTCTTCGAGTCAAGTCAACTTGAGCCACAGCTACTCCAAAGCAGTGAACAGCAGATGCAGTCCTCAAAATTGTTTTATGTCTTCATCACAATACAAGAATTTTTGACATTTGTATTTCCTTTCTCCAATGGAAACTGTCTTTATTTGTGGCGGTAAATTTGAGATCGAAGTAGGTGGTTCGCACGTTACCTCATGCCACCATGCTGGTGGAAGTAAACAATAGATATCTCATTAGCTCCTTTTGTTCGTCTACCAGCATTTAAATTTGACCCGCACACGTCAACGGTGAGTGACAAATGAGCCTAAGTCTTCCCAGGGAAGACTTCCTTATATAGCGCGCCTTCGTGCTTAAGTCACCTATAAAATATATCTGGCAGCCATGTTTGCTGTGAAAGGCTTTTCTTGGCTCAGAAGTAGTTCATGTATGTTGATCATCAAACTGACAAAGAAGAAATTTACAAAAAGACTTTCAAAGTCTCAGGATAGACAAATATTTAAGCCTTTAGTTGGTTCGTCCAGCTATAAAATTACAATGTTTTCAGTTAGTCGAATATGGTGGAAGTAGCTAGTACAGATCAACAAGTTTATGCTGGAGAAATGGCCCATTTTTGTCATTCTTTTACTCTGGGTAAGTTAAGTGGATAAAATTTAGCTTCATTTAAGTTTAGTTGACTTTTAATGTTATTTATACTGCTCAAGGTATAAGTGAGTGGCAAGAATTGAGCCTGATACTGTAGGTTTCATGTGATTCAATGTTTATTATATCCTGATGATAATTCACAGACAATAATAGCTTTCCTGAGTATCTGAAACTGACTCTCCATGAAGTAACTGCTTATAATCTAAGATCATCAACAGCACCCGTACTTTTTACTCCTAGAGAATCAGGAACTTTCCAGCACTCGGCGGCAACGCTGTTCAATAGACTCCCGATAGCAACAAGAAACATTTTCAATTAATGTAACTTATCGTGAGATGTTAAAATATACAATACATATTATGTGGATTCAAGACCGATATTTAGCAAATAAATGTTTCTTAACATTACGGCAGAAAACATTATATTCTAAAATGTTCTAAAATGTTTCTTCAAATTCGACTGCCCTAATAACCATCAAGGAAGGATAGAATGGCTCTTGTCAGTAGAAAAATCAACAATTCTTTGTTGAACTGCGGTTGTAGATACGTATGATGCACGATCCTCGCAGTAGAGAGCGCTATTTATGCAATAGCGAAAATCAGACTTGAAAATCAGGCCTGTACGGGATTCGAACCACTGACCTCTGCGATACTAGTGCAGCGCTCTACCAATTGAGCTAACAAGCCAACTGGGATACGTCTCATAACCGCAGTTCACTCATATGTTTCATATGTTTGTTGTTGTTCGATTTATCATCTACGGGTTTATATCGAATTAATTTGATGGCCTGCTCCCAGTTGGCTTGTTAGCTCAATTGGTAGAGCGCTGCACTAGTATCGCAGAGGTCAGTGGTTCGAATCCCGTACAGGCCTGAAATTTTTTTCAGGTCTGATTTCCACTATTGCTCAAATAGTGCTTTACTGCGAAGGATCGTTCTTATATACGTCTCATAACCGCAGTTCACTCATATGTTTCATATGTTTGTTGTTGTTCGATTTATCATCTACGGGTTTATATCGAATTAATTTGATGGCCTGCTCCCAGTTGGCTTGTTAGCTCAATTGGTAGAGCGCTGCACTAGTAT